AAGGGCTTACATTCGGAGGGGCTTATCTACGGAGGGAAATTTGCGTTTCAAAATCGATTGGGCTAGACTTAAAGTTGGAAGTAAATTTACCATTTTTGTTTTGTTTTACTTCGTATTTGAGGGCAATTTTCCCAGTACAAGCCCCCGGGGTGCTTATATTTGGAGGGGCGATTTAACGGCGGGTTTTTTGCGTTACCGGTTTGGGGGGCTTATATTTGGAGGGGCATATACATGGAGGGGCTTATTTTTGGAATTTTACGGTAATTTAACTTTGAAACTAAAACGTAGAATAACTTTCTTATCTGAATTGTTTCCCTTTACTACTATATCTATTGCACGTTCCGTAAGAAATGTGATTATCAGCGAACGAGCCAATGAAACTAATTGAGATGATGATGGTGGTGTTGATGATAGTGATAAGATAGTGATCAGTGGTGATGAATGATGAGTGATGTAATGATGTTGAAACAAATTCCTCTCGCGTACAGTACGAAATTGATAGATGTCACTACAGTAATTGTTTTAACAAATCTTGTCTTGATTTGGTAGATGACTCATGGTGCACCCAAGCTTGTCCTGTTTTAGTCTAAATGTTTTTTTATTTTCGGTGCACTTACGTCCTGTGGATAGCTTTAATTGTTGGTTGAGTGTCCGTTAATAGTGAGCTTACGCAACAGGACGGGAGAGGAAAGAAGACGGCAAACCTTGTCTGACAATGGTGACAGTAATTTTGTTTGAAACTTTTCGCCAAACGTCACCCTCCTCAGTAAACAGATCTTTTTGTAAAAGACCAGAAAACATTAATGTAAGTGAAGATCACGACAAAACACGCAAGTATTAGCCGTGTCACGTTTGTCAGACACAAACGTTCTGCCATCGTTTTTTTTTCTGCCGTCTTTTTGCGTAAACTATTTGTCGGCTCAGGGGGTTCAGGCAAGTTATCGTCTAACTACTTCGTTAAGTAAGTCGAGCAAAAAGTGGCTCCGGGAAACAAAGTATGAGAGCTGCCTGCCCAAAGGTTTCCTTAAGATCTTGACAAAACACGCAAGTAATAGCCGCGCCACGTTTGACACAGAGAGGCGTTTTGTCGTCCTTTTCTTTCTGCCGTCCTGTTGCGTAAATTACTATTAGTCGGCTCAGGGAATGCTTTCTCCAGGGCTCGAAAAAGTCAGGGACAAGTATATTTTCTGGATCAATTTAGGTTTCTGGGAAACTACCCACCTACCCCTCCCTTAAGCCAACATTTACACTTACACCTCACTTAGGGCAAAATGTTGGCTTAAGGGAAGGGTAGGTGGGCAGTTTTCCGGAAACCTAACTAGATTTCTTGCTTTGCCCAGTGAATGAGGGTTCAGGCCAGTCATCCTCTAACTAATTCGTTAAGTAAGTCGAGCAAGAAGTGGAACGCGTTCCAATCTAAAATGTGGCGTTCCGATTTGGACAAATTCCGAGTAAACAAACGGATACACACTAAAACTGACTTATTTTTCCGCGATGATTTTTTAACGTAGCAGTATCTCAAGTTTGTTCGAAAAGCAGTGTAAAATACGATTTTTTCGGAAAGGGAATATCAGGACTTAATTCCACGGATAATTTTTCACTTTCCGCTCAGGCTGCGTGCAAACGGACGCAACAACTCCCAACATTGTTGCGCCAACAATGTTGGGAGTTGTTGCATGCGTGTTGGCAGTGTTTGCAAACGGATGCAACAACTCCCAACAATGCTGGGACCTACAGTGTATGGTGGGAAGGATACAACCCATAAGTCTTTGCACACCTTGCATAATGAGCCTGCGTGGCCCCAACAATGTTGGAAGAGCTGTACAAACGGATCCAACATTGTTGCGCTACGCTTCGGCGATCACGGAACAAAAGAAATGTTGAGAGTTGTTGGCTGAAAAGTTTGACCTGTTTCAAACTTTGCGCAACAACATCCAACAACATGCAACAGGGTGTGCAAACGGACGCAACATGTAACATCCAACAATGTTGGGAATTGTTGACCAACAATGCTGCGTCCGTTTGCACGAGGCTTCAGGTAACGATTTATCCCGTGATACATATATCGTCTTGCAGAGCCTGACTCCAGGCATTAATGCTTGTTCTTCCTACAGGTTTTTACCAGCTTGCTCGAATATCAGGCTATAAAGGATCGAGTCTCTCGCAGTTTGCCGTACCAAATCTAACACTTTTTAAAATGTATTTGCTAACTTTTTTTGAAAACTGCTTTAAACCGGTGTTACAGCATAGGTTTATACTGACTGATTTGGGCTGACTTTAACGGTGTTTTAAACTGTTAGAAGTGCTATTTGTTTCAAATATGTCAAGTATTTTTATCAAATTCTCTCAACTATTCTTTGAAGAAGAGTATGGGGATCAGTCTGAAGATCTTGTTTGTGCATTTTTGGGTTAAAGGGGTTTATAGGCCATTTCCATGTCCTAAAAACTCTTACTTTTAAGATGATCCAAGTCTCTATGTAAAAATCATATTTGTGAACATGAGGAATTAAAAGACTTCACACCTATGCCCAGTGTCTCCTGTGTGTTCAAAGCTGACCTTTTTTAAAAATTAAAATCTTCGCTTTTACTTTATCTTCTTCCAAGTAATGTCAAAAAAGATCCCTCAGGTAGATTTTGTCTTGCTCTGATGAATAAATAAAATATAAAAGTATGATAGCTCAACAGCAGCGCCTATTTAGCATCAAAGAGAATCAGAACTAACACTGTGCAATATGGGACTGTTTAAGAACGAGTTTAAAATTATCTTGTTTGCAGCCATTAAAAAAATAATATTAAAGTGAATTTCTACCAACTGACTTTCTATGGAAATTACCCTATACAAGAAATATAAGTTCCCATATATTCTTCGCTATAGCTGAGCTCCCCGCGTGCGGAGCAAACAGGGTACCTTATCGAGGCGAAAATTATTTCATAACATACAAAAGTAAAGCGCTCTCTCTGATTGGACAATTACTCAAATACTATTTGCAAATGGATGAACGCTAACGAAAGCTAGAGCCCCTTAAAGTCGTACGCTTTACTTTCTAAAAGATTATATTTTGTTGTTATCCTATAGTTAGTTCGTATTAGTACTGAGAAAAAGTTTACAAAGCCGTTTTAGCTGACGTAAAAGATTATTTACAATCAACATAACGCTTTTTTTCGTGTTTGGTAACCTCCCGCGTGCATCCATAGCCCGATGGCTGCGCGACTACAATGTTTACCATTTCTGTTTCATTGGTTATAACATCAATTTACCCTTGTACGTCGGTGTACGCCAACGTAAAATGTCGTACTCGCGATAACACTTCGCCACGTTCCGCATTTTGACGTGAAAAATTTCATATGACCACGGGCATTTTGAAAATGAAGGCAGCAAACCTCGCAGAGAAACAAAAACTTTTTTTTTCTACCCGTGCGGTAGTGTTCTTCTTAGCACAAACCTTAGCTTAACGCCTCCCTGTTGGCACATTGGTCATACGTTCTATGACAAGTACTGATAATAAGCAGTGGCCGGGCAGTTTTTGGGTCCCTGCTGTTACTTATAGCTGTAGCAACCATACGCAGTTCAAAGTACAAAACGAACCCTGAATCAAGGCGGAATCGGTGATATTCCGCGCTATTCCGCGAGGGGTCCCTCATTGCTAATACTTATCCTAACATCTAAATTAATTTTTTCTCTTCCTCTTCTTTTAACCTCTAATCCAATTTTAGCTTTTCAACTAATTTAATTTTGAAGATCATCCTTCATTTAATTCTTCACTCCGCAGTTCACATGTATGATTTTCGTATATTCAAAACTTCATCATCATCCTTTCACGGGTTTATAAACGAACCAATTCAATGACCTGCTCCCAGTTGGCTTAATTGGTAGAGCGCTGCACCGGTATCGCATAGGTCAAGGGATCGAATCCCGTACACGCCTGATTTTTTTTCAGGCTTTCTTTTCGCAACATCAAGAGTTGCTTATATAACTGCGACGATCATCCTTCATTTAATTTTATTTTATTTCATCTTCTTATTTTTGTAAGTCTGTCTTTTATACTGTCATTTCATTTCATTTACTTATAAATTTATTACTTTTTTTTTTCTATTTTAGCACTTGCTTGAGGTAGACATAGAGTTTGCCGGTCGCTCATTATTAGTGCAAATCTTAACATCTGACCTGTTTTTTTTTTTTGCTTTCTATACCCACAACACTCCCAAACGCACACATTCTCCTTCCCTTCTATCTTTCGTTAGGGATCTCATACTTTTAACACCTGTAATGCCACAAAGGTTGTTAGAGGAATATACAGTTGTCGTTGATCTGCTTTTTTTTTTTTTTTTTTTTTTTTTTTTTTTTTACAAAGCAAAAAGTGTACACAGGTTTTTGAGCACCTGCGAAAATGCACCTGTAGTAAATATTTTAGTAACTTCCAAACGCAAAGTAAAATATTTATCTTCATGCTTGGCACAAAATAAATATAAGTTTGAACAAAAGGGGTTAAACCGAAAAAGATAAAAGATGGCACACAATACACAGCTGTTCATAAAGGAAAAAGGTGATCAACATCCCGGCTGTTGATATAAGAGTCAATAAGATATTTATTAATCTCGCGCCTAACGAAAAATAAACAATAATCAGCAAATGTGTGTTTGCTAGCGCTTTTGTTATAACGTTTACCAGGGTCACGGGCCCATAAAAAGGGCGGCACGAAGAACTATATTAGTCACATTGTTAACGGATACGTCACCGTTCGTTGTCCGAAGATTTTGCTGGCCGACCTCGTGATTTTTGCCCTTTGGATCCATTTCCCGCCTATGCTGTGGAGGACCAACGGAACGTCGTATACGTTTCGTAGTGGTTAAAAATTTACTAGCTTCTTGTGCATGAAAGACGTTTGAATTTTAGGCGCGATTACTTTGAACGAAGGGTTTCATCAAGCTTGGTACTACTCGCCATATTTTTTCGATATTTTTTGTCATTGTAACCTTCTGATATCTCCTTTGTAGCTGCTATGGCAAGGCAAAAGCCCTCCAATTCAAAGCATGTCCTTTACACTACCCAGTCTAGGCCGAAAAAAAGGCAAGGTCCTGCTTCGTCGCCTGTTGGAAATGGAAGCCCGGAGCAGTCCGCCGGCAGTAGTTCAGTCACTGCTTCAAGACGTCCAGAAAACAACTCGCCTGTGGAGGGCGCTGGAACGGTCGAACAATCTCGTACTCCGCAACCGGCCCGGCCTGTCGCCCGGCCATTGATACCGACCAGACCAGCCACGTCGACTCCGACAAGATCTGATCAGATCTTGGCGCCATTGGATTTAACCCCAGTAAACCGTCAACAAGCAACTGCTAGTGCCAGTAGTATAAACTAAACTCCCCAGCCGCTCTCACAAGTATGGAGCAGATAAAACAGTTCTTCTGAGTTCTTCGCCACCCAAGGGGAGTTTAATAAACAACTGGAGCAACGACTGGAAGAGTTAAAACATCAAACCTTGGGGAAAAGATCGAAACAAGTTCAGCGCCCTAGAAAGGAATTATCGGTAAGTGAACAATAGGGCCATTTATTCCAGGAAAAATAAGACGCGTCTTAAATAAGACGCGAACTTTCCGTAAAAACGGCACATTTCGTCTAAAATAAGACGTGGCTTAGCTAAGACGCCTCTTATTAGATAAGACATGCTCGTATAAATGGTACAGTTCGCGTCTTATTTAAGACGCGTCTTATGTAAGACGCGTCCTATTTTTCCTCGTATAAATGGCCCTACCCATTCATGTAAAGCTTCCTGAGCTTAATGGCTGTCTGCCAATATGTTTGACCTAGCCTATGGCCTGTTCCATCGAGCAAGCACAAAAATAAAAATAAAAATCGTGTTAGAGTTAAGTCTTATCATTCATGGATTTATTGTCGCGCCACTGGTATCATTCATAGAAAATTTGACTCCCTCCCCCTAAGGACGAAAATTTTGGGGGGGAGTTTATTTTTGCGGATTGGCGGTTTTTTGTGTTTTGCGGGAACTAATTTTTGCGATTAGAAAACATTGATTTTTTCCCACTGGGAATTAATTTTTTTGTGAGTTTTAAAAAGAACCCAGCATTCATAATATTTTCAATTTTGTTAAATGTTTTTGTTATAATAATAATAATAATCAACTTTATTATTATAAACACCAATGAAATACCAAGTGAGCTTTTGCGCGAAAACTTGATATCTTCACATGAGAAAATAACATGTTATCTTCACGTGTGAAAATATCACCATTGCTATGGCTTCATAATAAACCGCACCTTTGAGACCCAAAAACCATTTAAGGAAAATGGTTTGGCATTTCATTGGTGTTTATGTAATAAATAGAACATGACATGGTTGCTTGGAGATACAAAATTTCTCTTCTTGTGTTGAAAAAATTATACAAAAATGTATAAGATTATATAGGTATGATCTGAAGGAAAACAAAAATAATTTACCTTGAGTTAACAACAACAGCAACAACAATCTTTATTGTGCTCTTGATGCAAAAGTGTAAAGACATTAAAGGGAAATAATTGTGAATAAAAGAGAGCACAGCCAATAAGAAATAGCAAAAGCTAATCGTGCCAAGTGGCTGGGCCATGCGGAAAAGTAACTAGATATCAAAGTTGTTTAAAAAACATCTTGCTGGCTGACTGCTGAATTTCAAGTTATCGAGGGTAGAATTACAGTAAATATAGGAAGGAAATCCAGCGGAAATCAATTTGATTCAAGTTAGTGTGAAGTTCGAGTCAGCAAGGGATTGAGATGGGGACCAAGTGTAAAACGTTCAAAGTTACTGGTACGAAGGATTAATAGTTCTACTTTCTAGTATTTTGCTGCCTGAAAGTTTCGTTTCGCTTTCTGTTTTTGATACAGTTTGTTTGCTTTATTGGTTATTAGCTTATTGTTCTATCTGTTTCCCTGACTGTTTCCTTGTTAATTCATCCTTTATAAGGCTCATGTGAGGGACGTCTATTGTTCACTGACCAGTGAGGATGGGGAAGATGTTAAATGGGATCTTTCACAAGAGTAAGTTAAGGTTCTTATCATTTTTATTTCTGTTGTTGTTTTTTTTATATCAGGTTGCCAGGTCACTAATTGAGATGCTTAAGTTATGCAGTGTTTGTTTTGAGCTTTTTTGTTGTTGCAGCTCATAAACTGTATTAAAAAAAAATACAATGGTTTTAGCCAAAAAGCAAACTTCTATCGCTATTTTTAAAGGAAAAGCTACCGTGTATTGTATACAAACTCTTAATTTATTAGGAGTCACAAGTCTTTCTCATATGCACCCCTTCAGTATCAAAATAATATGGGATTACCTTAATTTGGGATCTTGCGCACAAAAAGAACCCTCTTTCCAGAAAAAAATACTTTGCTTAGCCACTCAGTTCTCACACAATTTTTGCCATCAAATTTAGCTTTAATCACAGAAATAACCAGGTTGTACATGCAGCTATTATAGATGAAGTGCGAAGCACAGGCATTTCTGCAACAGTATCGCTCATAAGGGGTAAGTGTATTCCTGCACTCTAATTTCCCAGATTTGGCTCTGTAGAATATAATAATAAAATTACAGTAGATCATATGTATTAATATGGTGGAAAATTACAGGAATCTTTGTCCAACTTGAACCTCGAGTCTTCTGGGGTGGATCCAGGATTTTAGCATAAGGGGTTCAATGAAAAGGCAAGGCGGTCACCTTTCTTTTTGCATCAAAATATCACTGAAAGCAGTGAAACAACGATGCAAATTTGCATTTGTAAAACTATGATAATTAAAAAACTATGATATTTTCAATTTTGTGTTTCGTCGAACATGGGATCAACAAGAAGCATTCTTCGGTATCTTTCCGCAAAAAACTGAACCACAGCATCGTAGTCAATGGGCTTTTCGTAATGAATGTTCATCATAGCCAAGCCTAACAGTCTTTCTGTTGTCATGGTGGAATCCTTTGACAAGCTTCAAAGCTGTACCTTTTTCTCCCTTGTTGTCAGCTGAAGTGACTGGTATAGTGCAAGCAATTCGCAGCAAACAGTTAATGTTAAGGAAAATGTCAGTGAAACAAAAATGTATTTGTTTCTTATGGAGAAAACGTTTTAGCTTTATTGAGCAGTAGAGGCTTTATTTTACATTTTTACAAGTTTCCGATGTTGGCTGTTTTAATTTAGGGGTTCGAACCCCCGAAACCATAAACCCCCAGATCCACCACATTTCTTGGTCCTTTTAAGAAATTATTTTTTTACTTATGGTGATAGCAGTCAACAATTTTTATTTCTGTTTTCCTGAATGACAGCTGCTATTAGGACCCACTTTAAGACCAAGAAGAGGCAGAAAAAAATCAAACAAGGCAACAAGGAGAAACAAGTCCTGAAAGAGCAGCGAATCAGGAGCAGAAAGAATACAGTAAATACAGTGAAACCTGTATTAAGCGAACACCCTCTATTAAGCGGACAGTAGCTAAAGTCCCAGAATTTATTTCCCTTATTTGCTTTAAATGAAACCTTTATTAAGTGGACACCTCTATTAAGCGGACGCGGACACCTAAAAAGTACCTGAAATGGACATTTCTATTGTTACCAACGTGTATCAAACGGACACTTGTAATCAAATGCCACCACCCAACATGGCAGACACCGGAAATGCGAAGATTGCCTCGAATTGCCACCCACAAATGTTTCTATTTTTACATTAAAAACGTGACTTGACAAACATATTTGGTTAGTTTCATAGTACAGTACTGTTTTCTATTTCGTTTTGTTTGTATAGAGCTTGTTTCACTCATCTGATTTCTTCAAATTTGAGTTGCAGTCTATGTTTATGGTATTATGATCAACTGATCCACTTTGATAAAGAAATTAATGCAAACATATATCGTCAAAGTCTCTGAGAGTGTTCTTAACCTTTCCACTGTTCACTTAAATGGCGTTTGACACCTCATATGACGTTATTTATCGAAACCTGTATTAGACGGCCACACCTGTATTAAGCGGACATTACAGCATTCCCCGAGGGTGTCCGCTTAATACAGGTTTCACTGTATACAGTGTAAAAAAGTTCCTTGTTACTCTCAAGCCATTACAGTGAAGCCAGGTCAAGTGTATTCCCAAGATTGCATTAAAATTAATGAATTTACTATAGGAAAGTGGAATCAGTTGATAGTTTTAGATTTTAGCTAGTTTCCAGCATATGTAGTGAGCAGTGAAATTTACAGTCTAGGTTAAGTTTTTTTTAATTTCTGCCAGCTCAGTTTTGTTGAAATTGTTGTAAATGCCTTTTGATGGTCTCACTCATAAATCATTTTTGTTTGTTACAGAAACGACTAAAGAGACAAAAGGCACTTGTACAATCGACATCCATTCCGAATGAGGAGAAGAGAAGATTTAAAGATTGTATGAATGTAGAATACATGTCTTCAGAACATTCTGTCTCTGAAGACAATGCAGATGAAGAAAACAGCTCTGAGGATGACAATGTCCCCAAGAAAAAGGTGCTCTGTAGGAGGCCTCTTCCTTGGAGGAGCCAAGAACTGAACAACTTTTTTGTAAAGCTGGACCGGAAAGCAAACCGTAAAAGGTCCCAAAGAAGTGCCTCAATGATGATAGAGAGGAAGGATGGCTCCCCCTCAGAGAGAGAGGCACCAGATGATGCCCCTGAATTTGCTCTGTCGTAAGGAAATGAAAGTTATTCCAAAGCTCTTGAAAAACTCCCATGTTATTCATGACAGGTCATACTTACAAATACGTGTAACTCTGCAAATATAACCGCCCTTTATCCATCTCAGCCTATGGTGCTTTTTTGACCAAATGTCAGCCTGAGTGTTCTTAATCCACTTGTTTTTTTACACGGGTTTTTACTGTTCTAAAACAGTATTGATTACGTACTTATTTTGGGACCAACAACAGTGACAATGGTTATGTTGAGATGCTTTGGAATACTTACAGCTAGTCATTTCTTTTAATGAGCCTCGATTTCCTTACAACAGGGCAAATACAGACTGTTCCTTACACATACACAAAAAATGAAATGAAATGATTTTATTAACTGATTTGCCTTGAGGGTAATTTCCCTTTCTTTAAAAATGAGGAAAAAAATTTTAATGTTACTTTTATCAATTATGTAAATAAAATCTTTCCAATATGCCATTACACAGTGTTACAGTGGAGGATCCAGGCTTGGGGGCCCACCCCCCTTATTTTTGGACCAAACTGAGGCCCGATGGGCCGAAAACAAAATTTTGGAGACGCCCCCCTTTTATTCCAGGGTCTGGATGACCTCCCCCCTTCCCTTATCTGGATCCGCCATGGTAATTACAAACCCTTTTACAGAGTCCAAGATTAAAATGCCACCAGAATTATAAAAATTTGTTTCTTTAAAAAGTGATAATTATGTTATTTTGTACTAAGTAAAACGCCTTTTTTAGCGTTCCAAGTAGATTGAAGAGGATTTTGTTATGGGTTATAACAGTTTTAGTGAATAAAAGTTTCGTCCATAAATAACTATTGTTTGGAAAAAGGAAATGATGGCACAACTCTGAAAACAAGTTTTTAGAATATCTTACATTAGGAGCACTTTTCTTATTTATATCTAATATTAGTTAGTATTGATCTGATACGTACTTATATAAATATATATATTAACATACATAGTTTGAAATTTGTTCTGCTTTCAGAAAATTAAGAGATATCTGAGGTAACTTATGGATTAAACCATTTGAACAGAATTTAATGCTTGGTCACTACTAGTGATATTCCCCTCAAAGTTTGAAGGCATATACTTGTTAAGAACTCAGACTATATAATGAAATTATTTGTTGTCCATTTACTAGAACCCAATGAAAGGTATTCAAACCTTGGACATTGAATATTATTTGCTACCTGAGCAAACCATGCTCTAAATTAAGAGTTTAAAAACATTTGCTAACCCGAGCAAAGTTCCTGCTTTGACTACATTTGCTACCTGAGCAAACATGTTCAATATTAGAAGATTTGACGACGTTTGCTGGCCGAAGCAAAGTTGGACTTTTGATTATATTTGCTATCTGAGCAAAAACCTGTACAAAAATATGAGTTTGATCAGATGTGCTGCCCGAGCAAACTTGTTTAAAACTTGGATTTTGACCACATTTACTAGAACCCAATGAAAGATATTCAAACCTTGGACGTTGAATATTATTTGCTACCTGAACAAACCATGCTCTAATTTAAGAGTTTAAAAACATTTGCTAACCCGAGCAATGTTCCAACTTTGACTATATTTGCTACCCGAGGAAACATGTAAATGTAACGTGGTTATAGTGCCACGCCTCTTTGGGGTCTGAGTCGAAATTCTGCTGTTGCCTGCACTTTTTCGTGAAAAGCTCTCGGCTAAGTATAGTGAGCATTAGTGCCTTGCGTTGAACAGAGTTTCATCAAAATCGCAAAGACTGAATGCGAGAAATTCAGCGGTTTGCAAATTTAAGTCATAATTTATGTGAAAATGATAAGCAAACTTTACACGATTACCGTAAAATTCCGAAAATAAGCTCCTCCATATATAAGCCCCTCAAAATATAAGCCCCCCAAACCGGTAACGCAAAAAACCCTCCGTTAAATCGCCCCTCCAAATATAAGCCCCCCGGGGGCTTGTACTTGAAAAGTTGCCCTCAACTACAAAGTAAAACAAAGCAAAAACGGTAAATTCACTTCCAACTATAAAGCTAGCCCAATCAATTTTCAAGCGCTAATTTCCCTCCGTAGATAAGCCCCTCCAAAAATAAGCCCCTGAAAAAGGGGCCTTTGAAAAATATAAGCCCTGGGGCTTATTTTCGGAATTTTAGGGTATATCTAATAAACTATGCGATTTATCCCTTTATTTTGGGGATCTTTATAACAAATGGGTCCTTACAAGTCAGTAAAAAGCTTTAGGTCCTTGTAAATGCGTGCGATTTCCAACAATGCGAACATATAGAAATTATAGTTTTAGCTATTTGTTGACGTTTGTCAGCGTTTAAAGAGTCCCTCTCCAAAAAAAGCATTTTCTTAAAAGTTCGTATCTTTTTTTTTCTTCAAATTTTTTCACGGCCACATATGATTAACTAACTACCCGGATTCTGAATTTGATGGTCATTGAAAAACTGTGACATTGGCTGCGGTCACATATACGACGTAACTAAAGTTTAACTTAAGTTAGTGTCAAGTTACGTGATGTCATACCCTGGTCATACCTAACTGTAGTTAGTCCTTTCAGTCGACATTGCGGTCACACCACGCAGTTAACAACAGTCAGTTCTAATTAGCCCATGTAAATTTTTTGTTTGTTGTTTTTGGTTTCCCCCTCGCTTCACGCTTGGTTTTTATTTTGCATATTTATAGCTGAGCCTGAGATTAAAAGAATTATTTCAACTGAAAAATGGTTCAACTACGTCGTTCCTTTTTTTTTTTTTGAAAAAGGCAGAAGTTTGGGTTGGTCAGACGACGCTAAACGGAGAAAAAAAAGAGGATGGCCGTAGTAGCGAAAAAGGTTATCGTTTGCTTTCCTATGTATGTCCTCAGAGAAAATATTTTACACCTTACGGTAAAATTTTGTTTCAGATATTTTGAGGTATAAATGTGAAGGCTACACATAACTGTTCGTCCGGGCCCGTTTTTAAAAAAAAAAGAAAAGAAAAGAGTCAAGGCCTGATTTTTCTTTAAAGTCTTCCCTTAAACACAGAAACACCGACCCTAGAAATCGTAACCTGTAAATTGCCGCTACTTAAGAGACCTACCATTTAACAATTTTTTCAATTCCGGTTTGTTTGTGGGATATTTTTTCTTAATCATTTACCCCTCCCTCTCTAGGTGTCTGATGCCGAAGGCTTTTAGGGATGTGAATATTTCTTTTTGGGGGGGCTTAGAGTTCATGTTATTACTTAAATTGGATTGTTTTTATCATAAGGAGAAACGGAGGCTTCGCTTTTAGCCCTGGCTAAATCTATATATTATATGCTTATCTCGCACGAGCGAAAAGAAGTGTCATATTCTGATTGGTTATTTGTTTGTAAACTTAATTAAGACTAACCCACGAGCCCTGCTTGGGTATAACTATAGTTAGTCTGTACTGTTTTGGATCACCGAGGCGTAAATTTTCTAACTATAGTTAGAGCGAACAGAGAAGCGGTCACATTACCGAAATAGCTAACTATAGTTATCCCCGTCTTAACTATAGTTAGTAACCCAGATGTGACCGCAGCCATTATCTTCCATAAGCCCAAACTTGAGTAAACATTGAAGATTTTTAGCTCTTTTGCTGAGTTTGTGCTTTGGGAGTTCTCTATTGTTTCTAGTCTGTCACGATACATTCCATTTCAGCACGCGTGCAATGACCGCGCTTGGCTGACTTCCATATGCTCACAGAGATATGATAATTTAGAGCCTGTTTACTTTGAGTGGGGGACCCCGGTCTAGTGGGGTAGGTTTCTTTTGTTTTGTGTCCCCCAGAGCGTGAAAACAAAAGAAACCAACCCCACTAGACCGGGGTCCTCTACTCCACGTAAACAGGCCCTTTCGGCCTGTTTACATGGAGGTGGGGGACCCCAGGTAGGTGAGGTAACCCGCTTAGGTGGGGTAACCCGCCAGTCCATATATTCTCTCATTTTACTTTGATCACGTTTACATGATAGGTGGGGTGACCCGCCAAGGCGGGTAGCCCGGTCTACCAGACCGGGTTACCTTCTCAGCCGCGAAAACGCGCGAAATAGATGTTTTATGTGTGTGGAATGTTTTTCATCACCAGCGGAGTTTCTTAATTAATGAAATGGTAAAAGGCGTGAAATTTCAACTCCGTGGTTCGAAACTTGGGTGATCCCTTCTACAGCTGCATGTTTTCTGTTTAAGAGGCCCTAACAGGTGAGCAAGCTTTAATACGATTTCTAGATTTGAAAGGGCTATTAGTGATCTGGTTTGCTTCAAAAATTGAGTTTAAAGCAGCAGCTGATCATGGAATAGGGCTTTACGTTCCATTTTTGTCAGAACCAGCTTGTTCTTCCAGTTCTATTTACATTGATCTAGCTTGTTCGTTTCTCGACTCAGAACCAGTGTTATCTTTTCCTTTGTAAAATGAATTTTATACGGTAGCTAATCAAGGAACAGGGTTGTATTCTTAAAACGTTTGTCAGAGCCAGCGTGTTCTTCGCAGTTCGATTTACATCGAGCCGGTCCTCACCTCCTGTGAGGAATGCAACGCATTTGAGGACCTTTTGTTTTTTAAAAGTTATTTTTGCCTTTGAAGAGATTTTGCCAATCAGCTCGTGTCCTTTTGCAGCTCGATTTACATTAAAGACAGCCCTAAACTCCCATGAAGAATGGAACGAATTTGCAGACCTTTTGTTTTAAAGATCATCATTATGAATCATTTTGCCTTTAGAGAGACTCTTTGTCCCGTGCCACTTGATCATTAGTCTTTGTATTTTATTAAAGTTTTTAATTTTTTATACCTCTGATACATTCCGCCCCATTCTTGCGCTTTTCCCACATTTTGCTTACACCAATTTTTTTCTTTGTACATTACAATGACGAATATTCTTCTTATCCCTGATGACGCCGTTGATCGGTGCAAGCTCGAAATTTAATATTAATCTTTCAATTTAAGCAGTCAAAGGCCGGCCTCACTTGAACTATATTCTAATTTCTAACGTTTATGGTTTTGAATAGT